CCTGCGGGGAGACGCCAGGGCCCCTCGGTCCCCACTGGCAGCAGCCCTGGTGCCCAGACGCAGGACGGCTTTGGAGATGGTCACATCTATTCTTTGCCGGCCGCGTCCCACCCCAGCTGTCCCTGCGAGTCCGCCTGGGCGGATCTCTCTGGAGCACGTCCCCAGGACGCTGGCCCCCCCAGACGCTCCAGGAACTCTGTGGCAGAGCCGTGCACGCTGCCTCCCAGGGCTCCCCTGGGCTACACGCCTCCCGCCACCGGTGCCGGGTGTCCCCAGGAAGGACTCAGCAGGAGCTCCATTTCCGCCAGCACCTGCCACCCCCCCACCTGGAACCTGCGCACCTGGGGCCTTGGAGTGCGAAGGGCTCCCTACCAGGGCCCAGCACCCGGGGGAGGGATCAGACGGGCTCTCGACGGTCGGCTCCCTCCGTGCGTTTAAGAGTGAAGTCACCGACATCGATCTCCATACTCTGCCTCAGGAGCGTGGATCTGGAGTCCCGGGAACAGGCGGGATTCCAGGGCTGTCCCCATGTGCGTGTCCGGGCCCCACCGCGGCAACCCGGGAAGCGCAGGCTCAGCACGAGCTGCGTGTCCTGCTGCCTTCCCAGCCGAGGCCCCCGCAGGGCCACCCGCCAGGCGCAGCTCCTCTCGGCCCGGGTCTGGGCCCCTGGGCTGTTATCTTCCGAGCTCCTATGTGACACGTTGGCTCTGTCGCCCCCATTTTACAGATGAGGAGACTGAGGCCCTGAGAGAAGCCACTTGCCCTGGGCATACACTGGAGGCAGCGCCAGGCCCTGCCCAATTGCCTGTGTCAGCCGAACTGGACACAGCTCTGGGCGGGGAATGTTCTGGGCCTGCCTCGCCCAGCAGCTGAGGCCTCAAGAGCAAAGTCTGAGGTTTGGGAAGGAAAAAGGGATCCTCCCCCTGCCGAGCTCCCAGCCTGCTGCCCTGGGAGTTGGGACGCAGGACCGCAGCGTCACCCCCCGCTGGGGCGTCCGGCCCGAGGCCTGCCCTGTGGCCTCACCAGCCCCAGTCTCGGAGCCGATGCCTGGAAAGGAACCTCTCGTTCTCTCTAGGTGGTCCACAGACAGGTGGGACAGGGAGGTAGGCAGGCGGGGGAGAGGGAGGCGTCGATCCCAGGGGTCTGTGTCTCTGGAGGCCCTGGCTGACGCGGGGACATCACCCCGTCTGCAGCTTCCCAAGCCCGTGTCCTTGGCTCCCTCACTCGGAGAAGCCCCGCAGGGTAGGGAAGAGAGGCCTGAGCTCCGGCTCAGAGGCAGGGGCCGCCCACGACCTGTGACCGGCGGTGCCGGGAAGAGCCCCGGGCCCACCTCGCCCTGCCCTGTCATGAGAGTCATGGTCACCGAGGCCAGAGAGGCACTGCCTGGTTCAAGGTCACAGCTCAGAACGACGAACAGTCCCTCAAACGCGCACACCCCTTCCCAGGCCCGCCGGGAGTCCCTGACGTCACGATGGTCTCAGCAGGCTCGCCGCTCTGCGACCCGTGGTGTCTCCCTTCAGAGTCCCGTCCTTGTCCCTCCTCGGGGACCGCCATCCTTCAGCAGGGGACGTGAGTGGCCCCTCCGGGCCTGGCCGTTGCAGAAGGCGGAGGCGGGGGTGGGGGTGGCAGTCAAGAAAGGCAGAGTCGGGGTGGGGGGTTGCAGTGTATTAGGATCAGTTTTACTGTTCGCAGATTTCCCGTAAAAGGCCTTGGGGACCGGGCAGGAGTCGGCAGGCGCTTCCGCTCGGGGAGGGTCATCTCGCCTCCCGCCCACGCCCGGGGCCTGAACAAGCATTTCCCAGGCGGCTGGGCCCGGGGTCTGGACCTCGGAGCTCACCTGCGCTGGATGCAAACCCCAGGCAGGCTCCGGGAAGGTCCCGAGCGCTTTCTCTCTAAACCACTTTGACAGGTGAGCGCGTGAGAGACCTGCAGTGCCCTAGCGAGTCCCCGGAGAAGGGGCCTCGGCTCCCATGGCGCCCGCCCGCCAGGGACGCTCTGCAGACCCAGCTGACCTGGGGGGCTGCAGCCTGAGCTCTTCAGACCTGGGGGCTGAACCTGCTCCCCTGAAATTCTCCAAAGTCTCTCAATCAAAGCGGCCCCGTGGCCAGTTCAGTGTCTGCGCTACTGAGAAAGCGCAGAACAAACGGAACCGCTCCTGCTGCCCCGCCCGCCCACCCCGGCAGCTGCCGCTGGGCTCAGCAGTTCCTCCCCAGCCCTCAGCGCCTTCCTGCGTCCAGGCCCGCAGGTAATGGTTGATGCTTTGAAGGGAGTCGCCCGCCTCGACCACACCGCGAGGCCCCTTGGTGCACGCAGACCCACCTCGAGCGTCCCGGCTGCTGCAGCGTCCTTGGCAAGGCTTTGCCAGGTCTATTCGCCAAGCGCCACTGTCATTGGGGGAGGGACGCCCAACTGGGGAGCCTCCTCCAGCCAGGAGCTCCTCCTGGGGGCCCAGCTGGGCAGGGAGCGCCACAGAGGGGCTCCCCGCCTGGGTCAGGGGCAGGAGGGCCTGTGTGGACCAACCGAGGCCGACTGTCTCTCCCTCCCCAGGGGGCTGGGCGCCCGCCCACGCTCACTCCTGCAACGGCCTTTGAGGTGCCTTAACAGCCCGCTCTGCAGAGGTCACCTGCTCAGGGTCACCCAGCAGGGGGGCAGGGGCTGGACCTGGCCAGATGCCAAGTGGCAGGGGTGCCGCCCCTCCCCCACAGGGCCTCCACCCTCTCTTTCCCTGGAAGCCCCCCCTCCAAGCCCCACTGTCTATTTGGTCCCCAAATGGCTCCCCTCATCCCAAGTGCACAGATGTCCCCTGCAGCCCGCCCCGAGAGTCCCCCGCTCTCTCCCGCCCCGTCCTCACTCTTCCTTCTGTCTCTGTCTCTCTCTGTGTGTCTCTGTCCAGCTCCACAGCAAACCCGCCTGCGTGTGTCCCCAACCCCCCACAAGGTCGTCGAGCCCCAAGGGGACGGACGTGCTGCCTGGGGGCTGAGCCATGGCTGAGCCACGGCTGCCACGGGAGGGGCTGGCACTGCCCCTCGGGACCCGGCCTGGACGGCAGCCCCCGGTGGGGTGGGCTCGGCAGGAGCAGCCCCCACGCCGATGGCATTTACCCACGGCCTGGCTTCCTGCACATCTCTGCCAAGGACATAAAAGTGGCCTCCCGGGAGAAGTCACTCTCTCTAAGTGACGAGTCCTCGATGGCCCGTCCTCTCCCCCAGGAGACCTGTCACAGGACAAAGGCTGGTGGAGGCCCCGCCCGGCCTTACCATCCTGCCGAGACGCACAGGGGACAGCTCAGGGGCGAGAGGTAAGTTGCCAATGAGGGATGAAAGAAAGTTCCAAGGGCTTTTGTTCTCCCGCCCGGCTCTGGCCCAAGTCACCCCGCCCCGGAGGAGCTCATCCCCGAAGGTGGAGGACGAGAGTGAGTGCGTGCAGGGAGGCGGCGGGGGCCTGGCACACCCCGAGTGTGCAGAGGACAGGGCCCCACAGGTGCCCCAGCAAGGGGCAGACCCCGTGCGCTCAGGGGCCGTCCAGGGGACAGCTCAGAGCCACCAGTACACAAGGTGGGGGAGGGACAGAGACACACAGAGAGAGACAGAGACAGAAGGAAGAGTGAGGACGGGCGGGAGAGAGCGGGGGACTCTCGGGGCGGGCTGCAGGGGACATCTGTGACGGCCCCTCCGAATCTCAGATGGGAAGCAGGTCCCGGTGGCCATGTCCTCTGGTCCTGGAATCTTCTGCCTGAGTCTGAAGCCCGGCTTAGCCGTTTCATGGTTATGTGACCTTAGAAGCCACATAAATCTCCTGAGCCTCGGTTTCCTGCCCCAAGAAATGGGCTGATCACGATGGAAGGCCGCCCTGGAGGCGGAACGCCACACGCTGGGGCTCTCGGCTGTGGGGGCCCCGACTCTCGCTCTTCCCAGCTTCGCTCTGGCTGGGCCGTCCCAGTGCACCCCGACGGACGGACCCCCCCAGACATTCACGTTTAGCACAAGCCCCTTCCCAGCCCCATCCCAGCAGGAGGCTGGGGCTGCAGGACGGGGTCGCCCCGGCCGTGGTGTGGGGCTGAGGAGCCGGAGCCACCTTGGGACCTGCCGTCCCTCCTGTTCTGCCCTGGGGCCCCTGGGTGCTGACGGGCACCTGTCCCCAAGGCCAGGTGCTGGGGAGACACTTCCCCGCTGGTGCACGGAGACCTTCGGGCTCCTCAGAGAGAAAGGATCTTCCTGCACTTGCCCGGGCCCCCGCACCCCGCACACTCGCCTCCCCCAGCCGGGGGTGGGCGTGAGGCCCCCGGGGTGCAGAGTCACGCCTGGCTGGCTGAGCCCTTCAGACACAGGGTCCCCGGCCCCGCCGCCCACGGCAACGGTGGGGCTGGGGCTGGGTTGGGGGGTGACGCCCGGGAGCACAGCAATTTCTAGAATTTACTTCAACGCTTTCCAAGGAAAGGAATTAGGCAAACCCTTAGGGGGCAATAAAAACAGTCACGCCAAGTGCCCGCTTTGGCCAAGTGCCGTGCGGGAGCCAGTCCCGAGTCCTCTGCAAGGTGACGTGACTGCCGCATCCATCCTGCGCTGACAAACCCAGCACGGAGCCTCAGACGGCCACGGCCACCTCGACTCTCCCTCCGTGCCCTGCGTGGGACAGCACCGAGCCCTCCCGAGAGGTAACGCCACGGGACACCCCTGCGAGGCTCCCCAGCCGCCCTCTGCTCGGAGACTCCCGGTGGTGCCGAGCCCTTGGCTCCCTCCGGCCGGCACACACCTGGGCGAGGACCCACCCACAGTGCCACGCGATGCTCGGTGGCTCCTGCAGGGTGGAGGCACCTTCTTCAGTGACTCCTGTCACCCCAGGCCCGAGGGACCGGGCGCCAGGCCCAGCCTGCCGGTCACTCCCCAAGTGCCCTTGGGCACGCTGTCCGTCCTCCTGAGCCATCCCTCCCCGGCCAGGGCAGGACAGCACTGCTTCTCACAGGACATCGTGAGCAGCGAGATCCGCAGCAACGACGTCAATTATTAGCATGACATTATTGACTGTTGATACGTCAATACGATTACTACAACACCGCATTAATAATTCACATGCCGGAGCCCAGGCTGGGAGGGCATGTTTGTAGCCTGGCAGGTCACATGGAGTCTCTGGTTAGCGCCCTCATTCCAGCCTGTGCCCAGGAGCCACGGCAAGCAGACGTTTTGACTCGCCTGCTGAGACGGAGACGTCGTGGCCTCATCTGCCGGCCTGGCTTTCTCAGGTCTGGCTGATCCACCCTCACCTGGCCAGGGGCTAGTCCTGGGCACGCAGAGACTCGGGGAAGAGAGCCGCCCAGCCCCACCAGGGTTGGGCCTTGCTGGGGGTCACCTCTGTCCGTCCGTCCTGCCTGTCCCCAGCCAGGGCTGGGCCAGAGGCTGGAGCTGGCGGTGGCTGCTGGGGGCTGTCCGGGAGCAGCATCCTGAAGAGGTGCTCCCTGCGGACGCCTTTCCGATGCGCTGGTTAACACAACGCCTGCCGGTCACCCCACCCGACCGCGTGTCTCCCTCCGGGCAGGTCTCCCACAGGTGCGGAAGGTAAATGGTGGCCCCAGGGTCCCTCGTGAGCCACTCACTGCCCAACCCCACAAGAAGCTGGCGGCCTTCGTGGCTCCAGCCTTCATGGGAGCCTGGTCCAGTCTGTTCCCAAGCTGCGAGCTCTTGCACAGGGTGGGGAGGACTTTCCATTTGGGGATGAGAGGACAGGTGCTGTGCAAAGGAATCTGCCGTTTGTATTATTGCGCTTTTATTATGGCAGGTGGGATGGGGTGGAAACCGTGCCGCATTAAAAGCGGCTATGACCTTCTTTGAGGGTGGTCCGGAGGCCTGAGCTATGCACGGGGGAAGGGCCCCACCCAGGGTGTCTAGAGGTTCTGGGAGAGGGGTTCTGGAGGGTTCTGATGGCCTGGAGGGAGGGCAGGTGTGGGCGCCCAAAGCACCGGGCAGGCACAGGTGATGGCCCCAGGCAGGTGGGACCAAGGCACGCTCGGGAGACCTTGGCCAGTTTTATAGCAGTGAGAGAACAGTGCTCCCGGGCCCCAAGGGGAGGCCCAACACGATGACCCGGGCCAGGCTGGGAGAGCGGGGCAGGGGCGGGGCGCGGCCAATCTTTGCCTGGCGGTGTACGTTGGTCCTGTCACTGCAGGGTCCCGCCGGCCCTCCTGAGAGGTGAGCAGGGCCTCAGCGGGACGGCACTGGGGGCTTCCCACCCACGTGCGGCAGCTCACAGCCTCCCGCCCAGGGCTCGGCCCACGCTGTCCTGACTCTCTGTCTTATTGGACACACACCACGCAAGGGCATCTCCCCATCCAGAACTGGTTTTGTGGAGAGGCCAGGCCAGCGTGGCCCCCACCCCTGCTGTCTCCGTGGTGCAGCCACGTGGGTGGGGTCCTGCCTTGCAGCCCCTGGGTCCCCCCGGCACGAGCTCACGCGGTGCTCGGGCTCCAGCTTGGCTGATGCACAGCAGAGAGCTCCCCGCAGCCCGAGGCCGGCGGTGACACAGGACAAAGAGAACACGGGCCGCGCCGCCTGGCCATTCCCCTCATCCCCGGTTCCCGGAATCCAAGCAGCTCCCCGGGGGCCGCGGGGCTTCGCTGCTGAAGCTGCGCTGTCTTCTGTCCCCAAGTCACGTCTTTGCCCGCTGAAGGGCACCGCAGGTCTGGCGGGCACGGCTTCGGGTCTGCCAGGCAGGGACGCCCCGTGGGTACAAGCGGGCAGTGCGCGGGAGAGAAAAGACGCCCAGTCCAATGACAAGCGGCTGTGAAAACCGCAGCCAGGCTCATCTGAAAGAGCGTGCGGCCAGCGACTCACGTGTTCACGCGTGACAGGACCCTGAGCCAAAGAGAAGGGAGACTAGTGAGCCACAGGCTCCCCCGGCATGCGCTGGCTGTGGCGACTTCGTGCTCGGACTAAAGCCTGCAAACCCTTTAACTGGTCATTGCGCCCACCTGTTGGTGCCGAAAGACAGAGCAACTCTCCGTCCGGAAATTCCCGCGTGGACGTTGCCCGCCCAGCGCATTTCCAGTGGGGAGGGCTGGGGGCCGTGGCGCGGCTCTGTGTGGGGGAAGGGGCCTGGGGCCCGTCAGCAAAGCGGCGTTTTTACGAACCCTGTTTATGTTTTGCGTTTCGCTCAGACCTGGAGCTGGAGCTTGGTCCCAGCTGTCCCCGAGGAGCCTACGGTGGGGGAACAGCACGCCCGCCGGGTGTGGCCCTGCGCGGCCCTCCCCGCACTCCCGCCACCCTCCTCGGAACACGCCCTGCGCAGTCACACGCTTGTCCCATGGCGCAGGGGGCGCGCAGCTCCTGGGCCCGGTTGCGGCTGGAAGCCGTGTTGACCCCATGGGTCCCTCACCGTGTGCAACACGCAGTCCGGGAAAACACACCGAAACCTACGGCGCAGAACTCAAACCACGGACGCTCACCCCGCCTGGCCTCTGCTCCCACAGAGCACAGAGCTTGGGTTGCCGCGGAGACCCACCACCGCCCGGCGCCGGGCACACGGCCGCTCTGCCCCGAGCCAAGTCCTCCTCTGTCCCACAAGGCGCGGCGCCCGGCGGCCCCTCTGGGCGGCTCTGGCGATGCCCATCTCTGTCTCGCCGCACCAGGTTCACAAAACTTGTGTTTACTTGTTTTTAGACATGAAATAAGGTCAAAGCACAGGAAAGCAACCCAGCGCCCACCCACCCCATACGGAGCCGGCAGGGCTGGGGCGGCTGATCCACCAGGTGGCCGGGCGCCACGCCGGGGCGTCGGCCAGCTCACACGTGGACGCCACATTCGGCACTCGAGGGGCGGCTCCGAGTGCCGGGCACCCTGTGCTCCACCAGCCGGGCATCCTCCCCACCGGCCCTCCCCGCGGTCACAGGGCCCCGATTCTCCCTGGGGAGCCGGCGTGCTCCAGAGACAGCCTCCTCCCGCCCTCAGTGGCCCGGCCAGCGAGTGTCCACCGGGGACCGTGGCACCGTCCCCCTTCTCTGTCTCACTTCCTGGATGGAGAGAAACAGGTTGCTGGTGACACGGTTTGAGTCCTGGATGCAGCCCTATTTTTGGACTCGGGGCCACGTGAGCCAGCGGCTTCTTCTTCTGGGCTGAGTGCGTGTCCCCAGCGGGCGCAGCCCCGAGACAGCCCGGCTGCCGCGAGGCCCCTCTTGCTGGGCCGGGGCCCCCGCCTTGCCGCAGGCTGAGGCCGGCCGTGCTGACCCCATCCCAGGGAGCAAGGTGTCCCCCAGCTGCCGAGTGGCCCGGTCCCAGAAGGAGACACTGCTCAGTGTTGAGAAGGAGCAAAACTGCTGATCACACGCCACACGCGTGAGCCTCAGCAGCGGGGGTGGGGGGGTGCCTCGGGACCCACGCGTGGAATCCTAGCAAAGACCCGGCTCACCACGGGGCCAACACGGCCTGTGAACTGAGCAGACAGAGCAAACTTGGTGGACGCCTGACTTCGTCCTCCTAGAAAGCCTGCCGGGCTGGTCTCCCCACGCCAGCTCCTCCTCCTCCTACAAGCGGGGGTCTTTCCTGTACGCCCCCAGCACAGGGGAGCTTGAGGGGTGCAGGAAGGTGTCTGCTCTCTGGAGTGTTTCCCAACTGTACGGACCGTGTGACTCAGGCCTCGGTCTCTGCTCAGCCCTGTTCTCACCCTCCCCGAGATGGGAGGACGGGCCCAGAGCCCGGGGAACAGGACGCCCTCCCGGACGGGCCTTGGTCCTGCCTGGCCTCTTTCCTGCAGACCCTAATGTGAGAGGCTCTGGTCCCCACAGGCAGCCAAACACGCAGAGCGTGGGACCAGGCGCAGATACCGGAGACGGTGGCCGCCCGAGGGCCCCCGAGGCCACTCATGCCTGGGTGGGGGTGCGGGCCGTGGACGGAGCCCCATGTGCTGGACTGACCCCCTGGAGCTCAGCGGAGCTGCTGTGTGGCTGCAGTGAGCTCTGCGCCCGCTCTGACAACCGGGTCCCTGCCTGGCCCGGCTGGCCCGTGTGCACACCGCCCTGGGGTCACTGTGACCAGGGGCTGTGACGCCACACAGCCGGGTGGGGAGGGAGGCCGTGCAGCCCCCAGGCCGAGCCCGGGGCCCCACCCTTACACCGCTCCCCAGGCCCAGGTGTGGCGCCGGCCCCGCCCAGAGCTGGGCCCCTGCCGAGGCTGTGGATGGGCGGGTGGGGTCATGCAATGGCCGCAGGCCCCCTGCCGCCTGGGTTTGTACTTAGGAAGAGCTTCTAGGTTTCCAGCGGTCAGGGACGATCAAAGAAGGAAGCTTGGTGACCCCGAAGGTCGCATGGGATTCACATCCCAGGTCTGTGGTGCCACCGTCGCCGTGGCCCAGAATACGCCTGTCCCTTCGCAGGCACGCCGCCGACCACCTGCCCTCCAGGCACCGCGTGGCTCCTGTCAGCGTCTCCCATGTCCTCCGCATCATCTGACGCTCACGGGTGCGGCGCCAAGTGCGGGCCCCGCCCCGGGCAGGGCAAGGCCTGTGCCGTGTTCTCACCAGGGACCTCCCTGACGCAGGGTGGGGGCCGGGAGCCAGGGCACCCGCAGTTGTCCTGGGCCCACACGCACGGCTTGTGCGGAGTGGGGCCGGGGTCTCAGTGCCGTGCAATGCTTTGGCGTCCAGGGAGGAGCAGAGCCAAGAGCAGGGGCATCGGCCGGACCCCGGGCCGTCCTGTCCTGGGCTCCCCTCCTGCCCGCGGGGCCACCTGGCAGCTGGGGCTCCCTCCCAGCTCCTGCTCTTGGCCAAATCCTTGCACAAGAGCCTCCCACAGGGCCTGGGAGTGGCTGCAAGTCCTCACCCAGGTGGAGCATTTGACACGGGACCGAAAGCGGCTCCAGTCCCGCGCTCTGGGGAGGTGTGACGGGAGCGGGGCCAGGCGACATCGGCGTCCCGCCAGGTCCTCCTGTGGGAGCACTCGGGAGGACCCCCCCCCCCGAGTCTTCCCGCCCAGAGGGCAGATGTTGTCTGGACTGGACCCCGGGGAAGGACAGCGCTCCTCACCGTCCCCCTCAGGGTTGGGGGCTTTGGGGTTAGGCCACCCTTAAAGTTGTCGACAGGGTGGGGGGAAGGGGCACCACGCACCTGCCCGACTGCCCGCGGTAAAGGGCGCTGTGAAAGAGCCCCCGCGAGGCTCTGGGAGGCTGGGGCTGCTCCGGGCCCCCCAGGAGGGGCTGACTGCCCTCCCCTCCCCCCAGAGCCACCGGAGCGGCCGCCCGGGGTCATGGGGCCATCAAGGGCAGCACACACCTGGAGCCCCCACTGGGGTCCCGAGTCCCCAAACCGTAGCCCCCAGTGCTGGAGGAGGGCGCCATGCTCCTGCCCTCCCCACCATCTGGGGACATGGCGTAGTGTGAGAAGAGGGATTCAGGCCGCCTGGGGGTCAGGGCTGAGCTGACCCTGGGACGTCACTGAGGTGGGTGAGGACAGAGCCCGGCCCTCTGCACCTGTCTAGGCAGGGCCACCCTGTCTCCACCACTGGCCACCTGTATCCACCACCACCTGTCTAGGCAGGGCCACCCTGTCTCCACCACCACCTGTCTAGGCAGGGCCACCCTGTCTCCACCACCTCCTGTCTAGGCAGGGCCACCCTGTCTCCACCACCTCCTGTCTAGGCAGGGCCACCCTGTCTCCACTACTGGCCACCCTGTCTCTACCACCTCCTGTCTAGGCAGGGCCACCTGTCTCCACCACCGGCCACCCTGTCTCCACCACTGGCCCTGTCTCCACCACTGGCCACCCTGTCTCCACCACTACCTGTCTAGGCAGGGCCACCCTGTCTCCACCACTGGCCACCCTGTCTCTACCACCTCCTGTCTAGGCAGGGCCACCTTTCTCCACCACCGGCCACCCTGTCTCCACCACTGGCCACCCTGTCTCTACCACCGGCCACCCTGTCTCCACCACCGGCCACCCTGTCTCCACCACCAGCCATCTAGGCAGGGCCACCCTGTCTCCACCACCACCGCACATGCTCAGCAGGGCCCACCTGTCTCCCCACCCACCTGTCCCTAGGCAGGGCCACCTGACGTCTCTTCACCACCACCTGCTATGGCAGGGCCCCCCTGTCTCCCACCACCACCTGACTAGGCAGGGCCACCGAGCTGTCTCCTACCACCACCTCGTCTAGGCAGGGCCACCCTTGTCTCCACCGACCACCGTTGTCCTACGGCAGGGCCACTCTGGTCTTCTACCGTGCGAGGGCCACCTCTGTCTCCGCCCCCCGACCCACCTGTTAGGCAGGGCCACCTGTCTCTACACCGTCCGCGGCCACACCTGTCTCGCCCAACCACCTGTCTACGGCAGTGGGCCCACCCTGTCTGCCTACCACACGGCCCTACCCTGTCTCCATCCACCGCGGCGCACCCCTGTCTCCACCGAACCAGCCATCCTAGGCAGGCGCCACCTGTCTCCCACCCAACCACCTGTCCCTAGGCAGGGCCCCCTGTCTCCTACCTGACCTAGCCACGCCCTGTCTCTCACGCACGCCACCGGGTGATCTCAGGGCAGGGCACACGCTGTCTGCGCACCGACCCACGCTGTGCTAGGAGGGCCACCCGTCCCACCACGCACCCCCAGTCTAGGTAGGCCACCCTGTTATCACCACCACGCTGCTCTATGGCAGGGCCCATCCCTGTGCTCTACCCACCGCAGGCCACCCTGTCCACCACGGCTACCCTGTCTAGGCAGCCACCCTGGGCTCTACCACCGGCCACGCTGTCTCCACCACCACCTGTCT